AAACCGGATGGATCCAAACTTGTTGGATTGGTGGTAGGGATAGTGTGACAGTGTAGAAGGAACTGCCTTGGAGTGAGTGTGTGTGTGTGTGTCGTGTGTGTTGGTTGTGTGTGTGTTGGTGTGTGTGGTGTTGTGTGTTTGTATACGCTCTTCTGTAACTCCAGGGCTATTCCTATTTTACAGCAAAGATCCATGTTTCAACTCCTCTTGGGACTCCCCAACTCTTGGTTCTCAGGATTATCGGCCATCCTCCCGTTTACCACACATCACCCACACACACACCACACACACACACACACACGCCTAAAGAATGAATGCGACTGCACAGACATACAGACTATCCACTGGACGATTGAATCCACCCAAGCACGACAATTCAACCAGCAAATACTGAATAAATCTGCTATATGTTGTGTGCGACTGCCATCGTTCCAGGAGAAAAAGCAGCAGCAACTTTATAACTGAAAAAAATCTGACCTACAACTTAGCCCAACAAGGAGAAGCTGCTGCCAGGCAGTAAAAGGGATGATGAGGGAAATATGGACAAGAATAAACAAAAACAAATACTCTGGTGAGTGAAACTGAAAATGAAATGTATAATTGTTCTTTCCAGCTGCTTATCAGTCCAGTTTTTGGGTAGGCTACCTTAACAAAAGTAATGGTCTCTCTAAGGCCTCTTCTCACATCCTCTGTCGCCTCTATCTCTCCTCTGACACACACACACACACGACACTCTCTCTCTCTTCTCTTCTGTCGGACACACCACACACACCACTCTCTCTCTCCTCTTGTCTCTCTGACACACACACACACACACACACAGGCCACAAAACTAATCTATCAACAATAAACGCCTCTGATCGTCCCCTGTGCCAGCGCGGTCAGTGCGCATGGGTGCACAAGATGTGTTCACCACATGAAAATGCGCTTCCAGACATCAACAACTAAAGAGATAACAACTCAAATGCCTGTGAAACAAGTTACCTCCCAAATTTTGTCTTCTTTAAGTCCATCTCGTGCGTACGGGGCACGCGCGCGCGTTGGTGCCGCTCGCGCTCTCTATACCAACCGCACGCCCGCGAGCGTCGTCTGCTCCTACGGATTCCCCATTCCGGATGTCCCACCGCCGCGCGTCCAAACATAAACACACAGGGGGGGCAGCGACCCGCAGAGGCAACTACACAACCACTGGGCGACTTCACTCAAAGTGTCGGGACTTTCTCTCCGGAGGTCAGACGAGGAGGCATCCCGGCGGGAACACGAGGCTGGTGTGAGCTGCAGCCAGCAGAGAGTTTTGTTCCGAGTCTCAAATGTGTTTGCAGGATGTTCCGCGGGACTGGGTTTGTAACCCCTCCTCTCCTCCCCTGCCCTCCCCCTTTCCTCTTATCGTGGCTGATGATAACAGAGCAGCAAACAGCAACCCCTCCCCACAACACAGCCACACTTTCTCCTGGCTGTTTCATTCTCCACTGGCGGCTCTGGTGTGACATTTAAATGCTGTTGGAACAAAGCCCGTAGGAAGAATTAAATATGATTTGGGGGGGAAAAAATGATGCGTGTTGTAGGCGCTACTGCCTTCATATTCAGGGGGGAAGAAGATAATATGAAGAAGCAATGAAAGGACTTTGTAAAACTACCCTCTGGCTGCATTTGAGAAGTTCCCCCTTTACCCACCTCTATAGTACATTTTAATCACTGCTGGGAGAGTAATTATACATTCACTCAAGTACTGTCCTGAAGTACAATTTAAGGTACTTTATGCTACTTTCTACTCCACTACATTAATCTGACAGCTGAGATCCTTCCTCCATTAGGACTTTACTTAAAAAATCTGATAAGCTTATAGTACAAAGCATTATTAAAGATTAAACCAGTTGTTCTCAACATTCTTGGCTTGTGACATCAAGCAGGTGGGGTGCTTGGTCACGTTGGGTTCATTTAAATAACTACTCAATGCCCAAAAATGTAAACATTATCCAATATTCCAAAATAAAAGCAAATATTTAACTAAATCAATGTAACATCAGATGCCCTCAGATTTATAGTTTGGCTCTTTGGAGGAGGCCCTAAGTTGCCACAGTACTGGCAAAGTAAAACTAGCTCCACCTCAACCAGCTACTGAAATGTTATTTACACAATAATTCTTTACTGTGAAGCAGGACACACCTTGTGTCTAGCAGGAAAACTTGAACAGATCAACTAAATTTGCATATTCAGATTGTGGAATTTGAAGGAGTATAGACACCTTTTTATGGATTTTAATCTGGAAATAATACTTTTTGAATAAAGTTAATTCATTTAAACATTTTTCTTGTAGAAATTCTAACAACAGCTTATTTCCAGTAAAAGTATGTAGGATATGGCAACCTGCATTTTGATGTGTAAGTTTCCAAACCAACAGTAGAAAACTAACAAAGAGAACTGGAGGTACATCAGTCCAAAGGTCTCAAGGCAACAGAAAACCACGGCAGATACAGACAACCAGGATATGTTTTGTTCTGTACATGTATGCTCTATGTGACACTAAAATATATATATTTAAGACATGCCTCTACTTTACTGCCAGCTCTGTAGTACATCTATCTTCTCATAATGAAAGGGGACCCATGTCATTCTCACTCTCTCTCTCTCTCTCTAAATTTCATTTTGCAGATCCACTGATCCACTCCCTTCAAACAAGACACACATACATATACACACACACACACACGCACATGCCCAAACTGAATGGAAAATTAAATATTATCCAACAACAGTGGCCAGCAGAGGCCCTTTGTGGCACTGTGCAGCAGCTGTGTGAGACAGAACAGATACATTATGCAAACACACAGACATCCAAACAAGTTTCCACACTTCAAACAAAGCGTGTTACACTTTCACCGCTGGCTGTGTTTAGAGATAACGTTCAAAATATTAATATCAGACGGGCATATTTGCACAGATAAATAACTTCTAGCTATTCTCAATGTATAGGTATAACTAACAGTCTGCATGTCAAAATGTAATACCAACTTTTTCTTTTTTAAAGCATGTGACTTCATATTAAATCTATTATGACTGACAGCATTGTGCTTTGTGCCCACTGTGTATGCAAAGCTGGTGTGTGTTCAATCACAAATACAGGCCATTATTTTATGGGTCATTGTTTGTTTGTCTTTTGCATATTAAAATTATACTATTTTTACAATATTCCTGTTTAGACTTAGGTATATGATCTTTTTTATGAAGCTAGGTATGCAGCATTGCTTTCTATTTCACAAACCCTGCCTATGTCTCTCTGTGGGTCATGTTTATTTGGAAGCTGTGTCTTGTGTAAACCAAAGGCCAGTACACAGTGTGTTGGACCTCTGCCTGTACTGACAGACCTCTGGAGGAGAAGCAGCCACTCCGTCCCTGAAAACAGAAAACTGAACGAAAGGACACAGCTGACACAGAATCACAACCAAACAGGAGCAAAGAGGGAACTTTAAGATTAACGAAATGGAGTCGCTGAAGTGGTGATTTTATAAGCAGCTGTACTGCTTTTAATAGGATCTTGGTTGTGTAAAAAAAGAAAAATCAATATGCCAAATAGTGCAAGGTTCAGTAGACACAGTGATGTGAGTGCTGAGGTTTATCATTCACTGAACTCCCTACTTAGAACATTAACTAAACACTTGTTAATATTAATGAGGGCTACTTATTACTAAGGGAACTGATTCAAAGATTGTTTTCACATCATTGTTGTTAAGGACAACTGAGGCGTTCATTGGACTAAAAGTTTCTCCTCAGTAGAGCTGAGCTTTTGTATTTCTTTCACATTTGTTGCATCTTTTTCTTCCTTTCTCTCGTTTTTGAACTCTGTCCATCTTTTGCCACGCTGCTAAGTTTTACGTTGCTATGCAGCGAATAATTTGAAGGTCTATTAGTCACAATCACGCACAGACATGCTCAGACTTACACCTGAAACTGCACACACACTTATACACACGTAGGCAGAAACTGTGACTCATTTCCTAAATTACAGTCAACACAAACTGTTTTCTTCTCATCCCACGCCACAGACATCGGTCACCAGAGTCATGACTGTTCATTAGGGTCTGATGCTAATGTCAAAAACAGTTCACAGAGAGGCCATTCAGAAAATAATCAATGGCCCTTGAACAACAACAGTGCTGTTGAAATGAATATATGGAGTTCACAAAAGCTAAAATAAATGCTGTTTGATGTAATTATCTACCTTAATTTGTTGATTTTTAGTAACACCACTAATAAAGTGTGTTGTTCACATGTATTAGAAACTGTATATGCTATCAGTTTTTTTTAAATTATATATTTATATAGTTATACATGCATTTTAATACACTGTTTTAATATACAGTGCAGTATACACACCTATATTCAACATACAAATATGTATTGGACATTTTAATATAGTATTTTAAGAAATACAGCTATGCCTTACTTTATATACAATTGTATAACATTAGCCCTCAGAGACAGCTAAATACAATTTTCACTTTCACATTATATTAATTACATTATATATTATATGTTATCTTATATAATATATAAGATATATATGCTATTACAGAGGGATATTACATTTAAAAAAAATGGAAGATTCACACTTGGAGAGTCATAGAATAAAAGGGTTTTTTAAAAATAAAATAAAAATATATGGCCCATAAATTGTACCTTTTATTTGTGAATAACTCATTAAAAAAAGTACAACTGTGTGTACAATTTGTGTACACTCTTTCCATTTTCATAAGTGGATATGATTTGACTTTCCTAGTAATATTGTTAACTGACAGCTGAGATTTATAACTATAATTGATCTTTATATAATGTGCCTTCAGATAGGGATATGTGCTATTTTAAGAGACAAGAGAGTTCTTATATCAACTCAGACCGGCATAACAAAAGGACAGGAGTAACAAAATGCTTTTTTCATTCACACAAAAAATGTTCATGGAGCAGGATGAATAAAATGAAACTCAGCGACGGATTATTTGTGATTATCTTGAAGTCAGTCTCTTAACTTCAGAAAGAACAGAACAAAATAGAAACTGAAAGCTCAGGAGTGAAATGTTGTCAATTCATAATAAACAGTATATTTAGGTCATCAAACACATAACTGTGTTAAAGTATAGAAGTGGATATATCTGAATAAAGATAATTAAGAGTTGTTGGGACAGCTGTGTGGCACAAACTAGATAAAATGGAGCCTCTATTATCAACGATATCTTGAAAAAACACCAGGGTCATACATTTCTCTCATTCATTTTAGATGTCCACACATGGACGGCTGGGGGCGCTGTTACATCAACTCAAGGGTAGTTACAGTACAGCGGATCGTTTCCAGGAGAGTTTGCTCCTTCTTTCTCCCTCCCGTGGAGCCGAGATATCACATAAAGAATCCCACCCCCAGTGTCATCAGATAGGATTACATCATTATATATATTAATATACCATCAGCACTGCACTTCACGAAACGCTCCTGGCTCTTTAACGGCGCCGCACGCTGCGTCCTCGGAGCATGCGCAGTGCGGGGGAGCAACAGCCCCAATGAAAAACAACAACAATCACTACAGCAAGGCTAGGAGAAAGAGATGGCTCCTTGAAGAACAACACTTCTGGCCCTCGTCACAGCAGTAATCCCAGCCGCACTGCTGCTATTTCTACCGGAGCATTATATGTCGATGGTGCCGAGCCCATGAACTTGGCCAGTCAAAGCGGGGACGCCGGCGGAAGCCAGCTCCTCTTCGCCAACTTCAACCAGGATAACACGTAAGGCAGGGCCGGGGATCGAGTCCGGGGGTCCGACGGCCTGTGCTGTCGGGCTAGCTGACGTTAGCTAGCTCACCGTGGACGCCTCTCGGGGTGACAGGGCTCGACGTGGAGTAGCCTGGATGTGGTTCCTCGCGTTAGCAATGGCTACCAGTGTCTGTGCGTTGATTTTCGCCGTAGATAATGAAAGTGCCCCGTTGACGCTACGTGTGGCTTCACCGCCGTCACTAGCTTAGCCTTGTAGCTGGTGACATGGTGCTGTGCGGTCCGAGGCTAACTTTGCACAATAGTACACACAACAATACAGGCCACAATACACATGTAGGTTAGGTGTCGTGTAACGTGGGAGACTGAGGTGACGATTGTTATGATTCATATTTGTTACTGACTGTTAGAGACATAACTTAAGGTTTCTGTTGTTCCGCCTGTTTTGATATCGGATCTCTATCTGCGTGTTTAGGACTGGCCCTGTAGATGGAGGATAAAAGTCTCCAACTCTTTTCACTGTGTCTCTTATAGAAGACGTGCAGCTAGTATCTGACGTTGTAGTGCACGGTGGGGTTGTTTACTGTTTACTCAACACCACAGAGGCCTGCTCATATTGCAAAACAGCTCCAGTCGTGTGACCACTGTCACAATGTGTAATAATGAAACTGCAGTAATATTCAGTGTGTGTGTGTGTGTGTGTGTGTGTTGCAACTATTGTTGAATGCAGCTGTTGTGTCTATTTCTGTTGTTTACATAGGTCCTTAGCTGTTGGCACCAAATCAGGATACAAGTTTTTCTCCCTGTCCTCTGTGGACAAACTGGAGCAGATATATGAATGTAGTAAGTATTGTCCAAGCACTCTCCCTACCATACCTGTGTGTACAGTCACTTGACTGAGTAGAACATGTTTGTGTGTGTATATATTGGGTTTTAAAGCTACTAAGAGCAAGTAGAATAAGTGCACTACTCTGTCATATTTCTTGTTATTGACACAATTTTGAGTTATTGTGTTTTAATGCATGCTGTCCAGACAGAACGCAGTCACTGCACCATTAGAGCGGTGTTGTTACTTTAAATATTAATAAACTTTGTCAGCACTTTACCCACGCTAACATTTACATAAAGTATAGTACGGCCTCTCAAACAGTCTTAGTATGCCGGGTAACTACCAGTGTATGGTGAGCAAATCTTTTGAAAATCTTGTTAAATTTGAATAGCCCAATGCAAAGCAGGCAGTGGGAGGCTCTAGTTGTATAGTCAGACGAAGACAACGAGTGTTTTGCCTCAGGAAGGGCTATTATCTATAATTCATGAACCCGGCTTTTGCTCGATCCATTCATACACAGTGTGCTAAAAGTTTTGCAGGTGTCTTCAGGCACAACAAAGCTCACACAAAGGCCCCAAACAGCCATTGTGTTCCTCTGTGAATCAGCTTATAGCCTCAATGTGGTTATTATGTGGCGCTTTCATTCGCACCATTTGACCCCCTTATCTCTTTAAAATAGTCACCAGGAGGCTCACAGACAGGCAGCACATAAAAGATAAAAGGATGCCACAGAGTGAACGTTGTAGTTGAGGTGATGATGTGTGTGTGTGTCTGCAGCGGACACAGAGGATGTGTGTATTGTGGAGCGTCTGTTCTCCAGCAGCCTGGTGGCCATCGTCAGCCTGAAGGCGCCCAGGAAGCTCAAAGTCTGTCACTTCAAGAAGGGAACCGAGATCTGCAACTACTCGTATTCCAACACTATACTGGCTGTCAAACTCAACAGACAGGTAGGAAGACGAGGGCAAAGAAATACCTGCCCGTCAGCGTCAGTCCACCTCGTCACATATTCCTCAAACATCCAGCCAACCAGGCCTATTGGTCTTGTGCAGATGTCATAGTTGGGTAATGTTTTGTGGTTCCTCTGCAGAGGCTGATAGTGTGTCTGGAGGAGTCGCTTTACATTCACAACATCCGAGACATGAAAGTGCTGCACACTATCAGAGAAACCCCGCCCAACCCTTCAGGTGAGTCTGAAGAGCAACAAGCTGTGTCTCATTGTAGTCTCAATGTAGTGTAATGTGTGTATAGTATAGCAGGTAGAACAGTATTAAAATAGGTTTTTTTTTCTTATACAGTACACTGTGTGCTCATATTGAAACCAGGGTTGTGACGTTCCTGTGATGTTTTTGGAGATTTATGTCTCTCTTTTATTTTTATCAGTTTATTTTTGGTTCACAATTAACTCAATTTTGTTTGCTGTTGCCCTAAAGGCTGAAAACTGTCACCGAGATCTGAGTTACTTCTGTGATATTTGTGTATTTAATACAGCCACAGAACAAAAACCCACTCATGCTGTCAGGACTGTCATAAACATTTAGATCATTGTAGTCACTATGTGTCATTCTTTCAGTTTCACTTATTGCCTGGTTCTGTTGGAGTCTGACTTTCCTTCTTTGGCTTCCTTTTGGTAATTGTTGTTCTCCAGGATTGTGTGCCCTTTCCATCAGCAATGACAACTGTTATCTGGCCTACCCCGGCAGTGCTACGATAGGAGAAGTTCAAGTGTTTGACACAGTCAACCTGGTAGGTGAACACAGACACAGTAAAGCTGTCTGCCTTTCATTGTTGTTCTTAAAAAAAAGTCTTTACATTTATCTTCATCTTTTCCCCCCAACTCTTATTTCCTTATTTTTCCATCATGCGCAACTTGTCTGCACTGCTCTGACAGCCAGTGTTTCCTACAGCCAGTGTTTCCTACAGCCAGTGTTTCCCTACGTCTTTCTGAAGGAGTACATCTCTAACTATTGTCGCTATTTGTCTTTCCAGCGAGCGGCTAATATGATTCCAGCCCACGACAGCCCATTAGCGGCTCTAGCTTTTGATGCCAGTGGAACCAAACTGGCCACAGCCTCAGAGAAGGTAAGGCAGTGACTTACAGTACAGTACATTGGCCCATTCTCTGTGTGGCTCATTTGTGTGTGATTTTTGTTTACCGGCTGAGCAAATACAGATCCCTGTTGTTGCTTCCCTCCCAAGTGTTTTTATCATCTGTGTATCTTTCACTTCCTCTCAGGGCACAGTCATTCGTGTCTTCTCAATCCCAGAGGGACAGAAGCTCTTTGAGTTTCGAAGAGGAGTCAAGAGGTAAACGACTTGATGATCGATGTACTATAGTTTTGTTTTATTCAGAAATAAAAGCAGTTTTACTGTGAATGACTGCGTGATTCTGTATCTGTGTTTGTGTGTACTGTGTATTTGCACTTCCCCGTACATGTGTTTGTGCTTCTTATCTTAGGTGTGTGAGCATCTGCTCACTGGCGTTCAGTATGGAAGGCCTGTACCTGTCGGCCTCCAGCAACACAGAGACGGTCCATATCTTCAAATTAGAGACGCAGAAGGAGAAGTATGTGTACGTACCGTTCTGTCTCCGTCCGTATACATCCGATTTTAAAAAGCTCTTGAGGGCTCGGCATGCCCGCCAACCTACAGTATGCTTCATGTTCAAGAGAAACACAGGCGTTTTACATTGTGTGTGTGTGTGTGTGTGTAGGCCAGCGGAGGAGCCCACCACATGGGGAGGTTACCTGGGCAAGGTCCTCATGGCGTCCACCACCTACCTGCCTTCCCAGGTTACGGAAATGTTCACCCAGGGGCGAGCCTTCGCCACCGTACGTCTGCCCTTCTGCGGACATAAGAACATCTGCGCCTTAGCTGTGTGAGTACACACACTCGCCAATATACCAACACACGATATGTTTGCACACATACAGCACTGTTTCTGTGTTGTTGTTGTTTGGAAGCTAAATTTAAAACAGGGTAGAACTATTTGTAGATGAAGTGAAAGTAGAATTGGAAGTAATATGCATGACTCAATGCAGGTCTGATCTCTGTTTCCATAGACGGGTCAAATTTGTGTTTTGTCTTTGGTTCTATCTTCGTGTATTATTGACAAGAAGAACTTTATGTTCTTTTGTTATTATGTTCCTTTGGTCTCTAATCATTTTTCCCTGGATAGCCCTGAGATTACATCAGTCAGACACTGTTCAACACAGTGAAGTTATGTTGGTTATGTTTACTAATGCAGTTTAGCTACCACATTTGTTATTCCACTGTTGCTGCTTCTATAAGATCTGAATCGCTTTACCTCCTCTGGCCTTGGATTTTATCAGAGAAGATGCGACCCAACACATTCTCATTAACTGCTGGTTGTATCCATCTGTAATAGAGTCCTTTGATGAGAAAGTGCTGCAGACTGTTACTCTGTGACTCAAACACAGCTTCAGTAGTTGCATCAGTAACAGCATACAAGCCATGGTAGCTTTTAAATCGGTGTTCAGTAAATCAGTATCATTAAAGCTACAGTAGGTAACTTTTTGTCGTATTTGCTGAAACAAATAATCTAGAAGGAGCCGGAGGAACCTCTTCAGATGATCTCTTGTGTATTATGTACTGCTGCAGCTTTAAATGGGTTCTTGGATGTTTGTGAATCTTTGTTTTTATTGTTTAAAATTAGGATTCAGAAGATTCCTAGGTTGTTGGTGGCAGCGGCTGACGGTTACCTGTATCTGTACAACCTGGATCCACAAGAGGGAGGGGAATGCACACTTATGAAGCAGCACAGGTAACACACACACAC